TGCTGGAGTGGTCTTAGCTAAGCCACTCTACTTGACTCCTGGAGGTTGATTATAGTTTGACCTTCGTTGTGATATCGATATATAAATGTTGTAGGCAGCTAAATTAGATAGAAATATTATAAGCAGTCAGACAGGGCCAGGCCCTTAAGGAGACAGCATGGAAGACAAGATACCTTGCAACTGTGGGAGAGACAGGTACTGCTGATGTGGGTCAGACCTAAAGACCAAAGAGCAAACAGACGCTTAACTCCCTAAAGATAAACATCAGGATTGATCATCACCTTCCGGAGGCCATGGAGAGTCACTAATCCAACCACTACCAGCTGGCTACAGGCTAAACTCCTGATCTACCCCTGACAGCCTCTGGAGCCTGTCTGGAAAAACTAGGGGTTAATCTTATTTCCAATCAAAGTCACCTAACTTCCTAACTTCGATGTACAACTTCATCTTGTGAGGCCACAGACTCCAAGCATTTAGTCAGGAGGTATATTTTTCCCTGAGTGAACCTAGAAGCAAAACAACAGGAGGCAGCTATTGGAGGGCTTATTTCACCCAAGTTACCTTAAAACCTGGCACCTGGGCTCTGTCCTGGCACACAGTACCTTACATTCACCCTTCAGGAATACAAGGATTGCCCTTATGGAATGGGAAACATCCGTAATCTCTCACCCCAGTCCTGGCCCTTTCACAAACTCCAAGGTGACCACTCCCCATCTAAACTTTCAAACAATTTATAACGTACCTGATTGGACTTCTAATCTTTCCAAGGAAAGGCCAAATCAACTCAAAAAGGAGTTGGTCACATGCATTGCTAAATTAACAGCATTTTCTAGCAAGGAAGGGAGGCACGCATTTGTCATTTTATCAGTAAATTTGAATATAAATTCATAAATATATGACTGTCGGGCCGGGGAGCTGGCTCAGTGGAATAAATGCTTCCCCGGCAAGCAAAAGGGCCTGAGTTCGATCCCGGTTGGGGGGGGGGACATCACTGTCACAGGATTTAGGAAGTCACCTAATCCTATCCCATTTTCATTAAAAAGAAACAACCCAAAAAACCTAAAGCTCAACAGGGTCAAATACTTTAAAACTCCACAGTGGGGATGGAGCCCCTTCCTGTAATCTCAGCATTTGGGAGCTGAAGCAGGAGGATCGCCATGGCTGAGGCCAGCCTGAACTGCTAAGACCATGGGGTGGGGAGCTGTTTAAAAAACTTGACTATGCAGAGGATTAAATTTCTGGATTTTTTTTTTTCTTAAACTCCTTAATTCACCTTACTCATTCTACTTCACAACAGAATTAGAAAAAACGTTACATGCAGGTAAAAATCGCTGGGGAACGGGTACCCTGGCTGGCGACTGTGCCTGCTTAGAAATGTCTTAAATCACTCGGCCCCCTAAAATCTGTCCCCTAGCACAGAAGCTAGAGCCTTGCCCTTGCTAAGCAGAGCTTTAGAAAACACCACGTGGAGAACGGTCCGTCCTAGCCCGCCTCGGGCCGCGAAGGGGGCCGCTCAGACCCGGCGCGCCCGGACCCCTGCCCGCGGCGCGGCAGGGACTCGCAGGGCGGGCCCCCTCGGGAGGGCGTCGCAAGCCAGACGCTGGGGTCTGGCACGAGGGGCGCATCCAAGGAGGCACTCCCACAGCGTTCAATTGCAAAAAAAGTGAGATTTTATTTCGGGAAGGCCCACGCAGTGAATTGGGAAATGGAGACCCGGAGGCCTGCGTGGGGGATGGGAAAGGGGCGCGAGAAGAAAGGGAAAGGCCTTTCTCTCCGGTGACGCCCGGTCACGCGGCGTTCTCCCGACGTGGGCTCTCACTATTGGTCGCGAGCAGGATGACGAAACAGCAGCCGCCCGAGCGCGAATCTTGGCGAGGGAAGCGCGGCATTGGAAGTTAGCGAGGCGCGCGCGCTCCCGCGGCCCGCCGAACCCCCGCCCTCTCCCGTCGGCCCGCCAATCCACTCACCCAGTTCCCGTTCTCTCCCACTAGGCCCCGCCCCCTTTCTCAATCGCTCCTCCTCCAAGCCGGTGGCGCGCGGTAAGCGCGTCACGTGAGCACTGGCCCCGCCTCTTCCTCTCGGTCCCATATTGAACTCGAGTTGGAAGAGGCGAGTCCGGTCTC